TCGCATATTCTGCTTCAGCGCCCCAGGGTTCGCCGGTTCAGATCCCAGGTGCAGGCCTATGCACTGCTTATCAAGCCATGCTGTGGCAGGCATCCCACATATAAAGTAGAGAAAGATGGGAACGGATGTTAGCTCAGGGCCAGTCTTCCTCAGCAAAAAGAAGAGGATTGGTGGCAGATGTTAGCTCGGGGCTAATCTTCCTCAAAAACAAAAAAAGAATACTGATTTTAGAAAATGCATGTTTTCTGATCATAAATATTCACTGAGAATAAAGCTTAAATTTCTTATTTTAATTAACCTAAATGTCTTTTCTTTCTATACAATATTAATGACCTTACTATTTAATGTATTGCATTAAGAACGTTTGTTTATTGCATTAAGAAAGATCCAAAATATTTCTTTCAACATTTGAAAAGTTTGATATTAAACAAATTTTTTCAAATTTTTACTCAAGTTTCTTTGCTTCATTTTGAATAACTTTTTTTTTTTTTTTTTAATTGATTTCAGACTGCCAAATAGAGTATCTGTAGTCCATGGCTCCTTCTTTAATTCATTCAACAAGTAATTTTTTTTACCAAGCATTGTGATAAGTGCTAGGGATACAATAAAAAGTAAGTCTCTTATCCAAAGAAATTTAAAGTCCAATGTGAGGTTTGAGTAAAAAAATAGGCAATTACAGTATACTATTATCAAGAACTGTAAGGGATCTTATATTCTACCCTACTTGCAAGCTAACAAGTTAGCCTGTCACAGTTTCATGGATGCTGGCAGAAGTCACAAGACTCCTGGGTCAGAAGGAAGGGACTTCAGTACTCACAACAGTAGCAGTAGCCAGAGTATCAGCATTTTCTTGTGCTGGTTCCCAAGCTCCATTTCCCACAGGGTGATGTGAAGAGAGCCACATGACACCTGCACATGCCGTGTGTTACAGGTGAAAATAGCTGAGCTTAGGGGACCTGGATCTTTTTTAATGGGCAGTAAGCATGCTTGCCTGCTATTCTGGAGGGAGACACAATCTTTATCTTCTAAGACTTGTAGGTAAACCTGCCCTTTGCTTTAGAAGGAGGAACTATAGTTTTCAAGGCTATTCACTATATAAACATTCTGGAAAAGACTGTCCAACATAAAGGCAAGTGAGTGCCTCTACTCACAAGATAATGCAGAAATACAAAAGGCCAGTAGAGAATTGTCTCCCAGTTCTCTATGGAGAGACTCTCTCTCTAGCTGGCTTTGAAGAAGCAAGCTGCAAAGAGACTCTGTATTAGTTTTCTATTGCTGCATAACAAATGACCAGCCATAGCAGCTTAAAACTACCATATTAATTATCTCATGATTTCTTTGGATCAGGAGTCTATGTACATCTTAGGTTGGTCCTCTGCTTAGAGTCTCACAAGCTGCAGTTAAGGTGTCGTCCAGGGCTGTATACTTATCTGGAGTACTCTACTATGGAAGGATCTACCTTTCCTCTCATGTGGTGTTGGCAACATTTAGTTCCTTGCAACTGTAGGATTCATAGTAGCTTACTTCTTCAAAGCCAACAAGGTAGGGAGAGATTGGAGAGGGAGACAGAGAAAGAACAAACAGGGAGGAAATCATCAGTGATATACGAAGTTAGGAGAATGCCTGTGTGCCTGTAGTTGGAGAACGCCTCTACAGCAGGATTTCTCAACCTTGGCATTATTGACATTTGGGGCTGGATACTTCTTTTACTGTCCTGTGCATTCTAGGATGTTCAGCAGCAACCTTGACTTCTACCCACTCGATGCCAGTAGAATCTTCCCCGATTGTAACAACCAAAAATGTCTTCAGGCATTGCCAAAGTGAACATCCATGTAATGATCACACAAGAAAAGAAATAGATATTGCCAGTACTTCAAAAGCTCCCCTTCTGCCCCGTCCTATTCATTATTCTCTACTTCCCTCCAAAAAGAAATCACTTTTTTAGTTATCACTTTCTTGTTTTTCTTTATAATTTAGTTTTACTTGTTCTTTTTAATACTTTACATGTCAGGAATCATTCAGTGTATATTTTTTATACCTCACTTCTTCTAGCCAACATTATGTTTGTGAGATTTAATCGTGTTGTTGCATGTAGCTGTAGCTCATTTGTTTCCATTTCTGTATAATATTCCACTGTATGAATATGCTGTTACTCATTTCACTGTTGTTGGCCTTTTGAGTTGTTGACACTTTTTGACAATTAAAAATAATACTGCTAAACAATTTTATACCTGTTTCTTACTACAATTGTATACATAATTTTATTTGGTACATAATTAGAAGTGGAATTTCTGAGTCATAGGGTATGCATATCTCCAACTTTAGTAGATAATGACAAAATGTTTGCCAAAATATTTTTCAAAACAGTTGTACTGATTTACACTCCTATCAGCAGTATATGAGAATTCCCATTGCTCTTCCCCAAAACCTGTTATAGTCAGTTTAAAAATTTTAGCCATAGTGGTTGGTAGATAGTGGTATTTCATTGTGATTTTAATTTGCGTTTTCCTGTTAATGAGATTGAACACCTTTTCATCTGTATGTTGACCATTTGAATATCTTCTTTTGTGAAAGTCTTGTTCAACTCTCTTGCCCATTTTTCCATTGGATTATCTTCTTTTTTATTTGTAGAGCTTCTTTTCATGTAAGCCGTTTGTTGGTTCTGTGTATTGCAAATAATTTTTTCCTCTGTGTAGTTGGCTTTCTTACTTAGTATTGTGGCATAGATTCTGTTGGTGTGCCACCCACATCGCCTTAGCATTTGCTTTTGTACAGGGAAGGCTTCTTTCTGCAAGCAGCTGAAACTCAGTACCTCAGGGCTTTCTCTGGCTACAGGAGAGACCAGAGAGTAATCAGGAGTTGTTGCCCTAGCAATAGGTCTTAACCAATACTGAATAGGAGTTGATGAATAAATACCCCGTTTCCCTTACCTTTGGAAATAGCTTCCAAAGCTTACTCTACACCATCTCTGAGAGGTCTCCAGCGGGACTGAGCCACAGTACCATGCAGTGGTAACCTGATCATCAGTGCATCCTGTATTACTGTCCTTGACCTCTCTTCTTACTTTCCTACTCCCTTGCCTGTGCTTATTGGAATTACTTTTCAAGTAAATTATTTGCCTTCAAATTCTAGTTTCTCAAAGTTGGCTTTTGGAGAACCTTTCCTGGGTCAGTGGTGGCTTTTGATGAATAGAAAATCCTAATTTAAGTTTAGTGTAGCTTACGTTTTTCCTTTATAGTGTTTGTTGTATCCTGCTTAATCAGTCTTTACCTACCCCAATGTCTTGATTGTACCCATGGGATTTTAATTTGTGAAAGTGACTGAGTGATGACATGGAGAGGTTACTGCCATTAAAAGAAGATTTTTATTACTTACAATTCCTGAGAGTAAGGAGCACAGCACAAAGGATCATGGGGAAGAACCAGAGTTGGTCAGGAGGTGGAAGGAATGAAAGGAAAACATTGCAAAAGCCTTTATTACTACAATAGCAGGAAGTTGTTAGGTGGGAACATCTCCTGTTAGGTAGGAAGCAAAACACATGTTGGAGTTTGTGGTTGGAGGGATTGTAATATAGTCTTTGTGCACCAGCTAAAGCCAGACCATGGGGGAGATGTAAACAACTTTGGCCATTCGTTTGGCCCTGTGATTAATGGATGCCAAATAATCAATTATGAAATTTATAAAAGTTGGTTAGAATACCCAAGGTAATGATGATATTCTTCTTTGTTATATTCTAGATGTTTTATTGTTTTACTTATTTAGATCTACAGTCCACCTGGAATTGATATTTGGATGTGGTGTGAGAAAGGGATCACGTTTCATTTTTTTCTTATATAGATTCATAATCGTATTGGCACCATTTATGGAAAAGACTGTCCTTTTCCCACTCCTCTGCAGTCAGTCTTTGTCATAAATCAAGTGTCCATATGTGACTGGGTCTATTTCTAGACTCTTTATTCTGTTCCATTGGTCTCTCTGTCTGCCCTTATGCAGATACCACAGTGTCTTAATTTAACTTTAGTATACGTTGGTATTTGTTAGAGTTGGTCCTTCCACCTTGTTCTTCTTCAAGATTATCTTGGCCATTTTTGGAAGATGTTCTCCTTTGGTAATAGCGATGATACTTGTCTTCTGTTTGGTGAATTTTACTTATTTTTAATCTTCCAGTTAGTTTCAGAGATCCATTGTAAGAGAGCATGAGATAATTTGTTTTAGGGCTAACAACATTCATTTTGGTGTTTTTCCTAAATTGACCCATATAGTGACAGAACAGTCCAGATATTGTACAATGGGGGTATAGATTAGGGGGCTTCAAAAAGAACCAGTGCCATATGGAATACATAATGTCATAATTGTAATATGCTACAACTCCTTGTCAGTATTGGTAAATTACTCCATCCAAAGATCATCCTCATTTCCCCAGGTTTAGTACCAGTGCTCGGCTCTAGAGATAGTACAATTTAACTTATCAAAGGGTTATTTATAAAATTTAGAATGTTGATGTTGCTTTATTTTGAAAAACTAATTAATTTGTACCACTGGAATTATGAAAATTGTTTTACTTGCACAAACAGGAACCAATGAGGGAAATTTGTGTTATTCTGTAACTATCTGGGATATTCAGTTGCAGCTTTTCAAATAGCATCTATCCACAAATATCCTTTGTGCCTTTTGCAATTCATCTTAGTTTTTTGGTGCTGCTCAGGATTGAACTGTATCTCCTGTCACTACTGTGGGTTAAGCTGTACTCAAAGGGCTGAAATAGAAATGAAATTTGGATACGATGAGGTGAACTCTTTTCATTGTCAGACTTTCAGGAGACTAATGCATTAGTCTTACTATGATGGGGCAGTAATTTCCAACCATTGATTAGGCTGGCATCCTAGCTAGGTTGATATGTAAAAATGTACGGAATATGATAAGCATAAAATCTTTAAGAGGAAAACCCATTCTTGTATTAAATATTTATGGTTTCCACATTTGTATTTTTTTCTTAATAGGTTAATGTAGCTGAATCAAAGATAACAAATTTAATATACCTAAAACATACCTTGGAACTTGTAGATCCTTTAAAGGTAATTTACATGTTTGTATGTCTTCCAAAACGTGTCTAGCATCAGTTTTTTTTAACTTTTTATTTTGAAGAAATTTAAGACTTAGAGAAAGTTGCAAGAATGAGTGAATTCCCATATTCTTTCTCTTTATACACACAGCACACAGACACGTTATTATCCTTATTATTACTCTTACTGAATCGTTTGAGAATAAGTTGCAGTACCTAAATGCTAAAGTATATATCTCCTAAGAATAAGCATGTTCTCTTACATAACCACAATATAATTATAAAATTCAGAATATTTAACATGGTATAATACTATTATATAATGTATAGTCCATATTCAAATTTTTCCAGTTGTCTTAATGATGTTCTTTATGGATTTATTTTTTCTTGATACAGGGTCTAGTCCAGGACCACGCATTGTGTTTAATGTTATATTTCTTCATATTCCTTTAAACTGAAAAGTTTCTCAGTTTTTCTTTGTCTTTCATGATATTGACATCTCGAAGAGTAAGGATCTGTTGTTTTAGAGGATATTCCTCAATTTGTGTGATTTTTTTTCTCATGATTAATTTCAGTTTATGCGTATTTGGCAGTAATACTCTATGAGCAATGTTGTATCTTTCTCAGTACAGCACATCAGTAGGCATATGATATCATTTCCCTGTTCGAGTGCTAACATCTGTTGCCAGTCTTTTTTTTTTTCCTTCTTCTTCCCACAGTCCCCCAGTACATAGTTCTGTATTCTAGTTGCAGGTCCTTCTGGTTGTGCTGATCAATTTCTTCACTGTAAAGTTATAAGTAATCTGTAGAGGGATACTTTGAGAGTGTATAAATATCCTGTTTCTCATCAAACTTTCATCCATTGATTTTAGTATTTCTTGATGAGTCTCACTTGAAGTACTTGTTACTCTGATGGTTACAAATGGGTGATTTTCTCTTCAATTTTTAAATACTCTCCTGTGCAAAACATTTTTTAAATTAAAGTGACACAAAAGAACTGCTTTTTAACATGAAAAATGTGGAAGAATTTTGTTGTAGAGTTCATTCTAATAAATATATACAATGAAAGCAATTTGGCAAAAGTGTTGTCTTTTTTAGAATAAAAGAAGTATAATAAACCTTCCCCCTAAATTGATAGATTTGATGAAACACAAATATCAAACTTTGATATGTCAAAGGCAAGGTAAAAGCCAAAGAAAGGAAAAATTTATAACAAATGACAGACAAATATTAATTTCTGACATCATAAAACTTGTGTAATTTCATAAGAAAATACTGAAATGCCAGTGGAAATATGGAAAATGACCACAAAACGAGAAATCAAAGTGATTAATAAATCCAACAAAAATGTTCAACCTCAGCATTAGTCAAAGAAATGCAAATTAAAAATCATAGTTTTTATCTATTAAAAAAGCAGTTTTTTTGCTTAATGGATGCAACTTACTGCTAATGAGAGAACAGTGAGACAGGCAACCTCTTAGACAACTGGTAGGAGTACAAATTGTACATACTTTATAGGAGAGTTTTGCAATTTATATCATTCTACTTCTAGAAATCTGTCTGAAAGAACTAGTAAGAAATGTTGATCAAAATTTATGCCCACTGATGGTCATTGCAGCTTTATTTATATTAGTGAGAAATTATAAGTAGCACAGAACTCCAATAATTAGAGAAAGAGACTATTTTCCTTAGGGTGGATTTTTTTTTTTTTTTAAGGAAGATTGGCCCTGAGCTAATATCTGTTGCCAATCTGCCTCTTTTTGCTTGATGAAGATCATCCCTGAGCTAACATCCATGCCAGTATTCCTCTATTTTATATTTGAGGTGCTACCACAGCATGGCTTGATGAGCAGTGTGTCGGTCTGCACCTGGGATCCCAACTCTCAAACCCTGGTCCACCAAAGTGGAATGTACAAACTTAACCACTATGCCACTGGGCCAGCCCCCTCCACAGAGTGGAATATTATGCATTATTTTTTGCTGTGAAAAGTTTCTAATGCTTATGATATAGTATTAAGCAGGGGAGAAAAAGCATACAATGATACAAAATCTTTGATTTAAAGAAGTGACAGGAAATATGCCATAATATTTAGAGTATTTATCTTTGGAAGGGTGGTAGAAATATGAGTGATTTAAAAGTTTTTATGTTTTTGTGAATTTTCTAGTTTTTATCAATATGTAAATATTTTTCTATTCATAAGCAAAAAGTGTTCTTATTGCCATTGTCTCATAGCAAACTAAACTAGGAGGTAAAATCAGGTTAACTACGTTTTCTCCTCCTCTTTTATGTTTATTCAAATAGTGACCACTCATAGTTTCCATTAAGCAAAATAAAATCCCTACTTTTGCCATGTAAGAATGGAGAAATTGCTCTATTTATAAATAACAAAGCACTTTTTAAAGGTATATTTAATCCAAATTTTGGAATGATATGTAGAGTACTCTAGATGTACAATGATAGCTATTTAAGTACCTATCTCTAATAAGTAGTTGAATGTTAACAGTTAGTTGAGAGACAAGAAAAATAAAAGTCATAATAGTAAAGCACTGGATGCCACTTACTAGCCATGTGCTCTTTATTGGGAAAATGGGAAAGATACCATCTGTCCTCACGTAAATACCTAAAATACTTTTTATGAGTATATAAATGAGAAGATGAGGCAAGAAAGCACTTGCTAAACTGTAAAGTATTAAACAAATGTAAAAAGCTATATTTGAATAATGTCATAATTTATTATCCTTAACTATCTTTATTTTATTCTTTAATAGATTGCTCTGAAGAACTGTGACACACCTTTATTAAGAGCTTACTACGGTTCCTTGGAAGATAAGAGGTCTTTGTCACTCAACTGTTAATAAAATATCAGATTATTCCTTTCTTCCTGAGCATAACTGATTTTAAGCACTCTAATTGTATTCTATAGAACAATTACTTGAGCCTTAGTTAATAGAAGCTTTAAACTATTTCAGACTTATAATTATGCATTTCATCTTATAAATACCAATAAATAGGGTAACAGCACATTGAGTATTTGTGTTAATGGACAATTAAAATAGCATTAAAAATTGAAATCATATGCAATTTTAATACTTCTTTTTTAGCCATTCTCCATGGAAAGACTTGCAAATATAAAAATATATTCTTCTCTTTTGTTAAATCATGAAGGGCCTAATGTAACCAAAAAATAGTATATATGAATACTGAATAAGACCTAAATACAGTTTAATTTTAATATTTGTTTTTAGCAGTGGCACCTTGGTTCTTGGCCAAAAAGTCTTGTGGTACTTAAGAACTGTTATTTTATTGATTCAAGATTCACACCTTGTATGAGGCCACAAATTAAGGTTAATAATAAAAAAAGACTAATTACAAATAAAATATAGAACAGAATAAAACGAAAGTATAGAAAAATAGGTGTTTCCAGACTTCTGGTTTCGTGATCACTGCACTAATCACTGCTAATTGTGAGGTCCTTGTTGCACTGTTTCACCATCTGTGTTTAGTCTCCTTACCCCACCTGAGGGCAAGGACCATGTGTTAATCCTTCCTTGAATCCTTGCACCTAACACAGTGATTGACACATGGGATAAGAAAATGTTTATTGAGTCAATGAGCATGAAGCCAGCATTCTTATAACAGGTCTTCAAGGATATATTTTATACTCACAGGCACAGTCAGTATGTATAACTTCAGGTATCTGTTTATTAGCAGTTGTAAAATTCTTCTTGATGGCCTCATGTTGGTTTAGGAAACTAGTCCTGGCTGACAAAATAATTTATGATTGACATCATCACAGTTCTAACCTATGTAAATTTACATTGCTTAATTATGTATTTTCAAAATAATTTTTACCAATGATTTCAAGAAAATATGCTATTTCCTATCAATAACTATGATGAATTACGAATTAAAATAACTTTGATTTATTGCCTATAATCTTCTTTTTTAGGTTTGGAATTATCCTTGAAAAGATTAAAACAGTAATTAATGATGATGCAAGATACATGAAAGGATGCTTGAACATGAGGACACAGAAGTGCTATGCAGTGAGATCTAACATAAATGAATTTCTTGACATCGCTAGAAGAACATATACAGAGATTGTGGATGACATAGCAGGTAATTTAATGACTTGAACATATTTTTCTGGTTTTTAGAAATAAACTTTTTTAGGACATTCTGTGCTTTTTTGCTGGTGATAACTAGCCATGTGTATTTTAAATTTTTTTTGTTAGCAAAACAGATAAAGTTGGACTGGCCTGGTGGCATAGTGGTTAAGTTCATGCACTCCACTTTGGTGGCCTGGGGTTCGTGGGTTCCAATCCCGGGTGCAGACCTACACACTGCTCATCAAGCCATGTTGTGGTGGCATCCCACATACAAAGTAGAGGTGGATTGGCACAGATGTTAGCTCAGGGACAAACTTCCTCACCAAAAAGAAAAAACAACGAGATAAAGTTAACATATATTATCATTTAAAGAAACTTAAAAAAAAATAAAGATCTCAGAGTGTTATAATATGTCTGTTCTTTTTTCCAAACTTAAATATAGTTATGTTCATATAACATTGTGTATAAATTACATGAAAAATGCAGGCTATCAGTACTAAAGAGTTTCACTGGAGGGAGAGGGATCATTTTTGTCTAGTAGAGGTGGCGTTTGAGCCAGTACAGTAATTCATTTAACAAATATTGAGCTCCTAGTAAATGTGGACACTGTTCTAGGTACTGAAAATACGTAGTGATCAAGACAAAGTCCCTGTCCTCGTGGAGCTTATGTTATAGTAGGGGAGACAGACAATAAAGACACAAAGACACACACATGTGTATGTATATCAATGTATATCAATCACATATATCACATAATTTCATATGGACATAAGATATGAAGAAAACTGTTGCAGGCTGGAGGGGTCAGGAGGGACTGGGTGTGGAGGCAGAGAGGATGGGAGTGTTTTTAGTAGATAAAATAGCCTAGAAAGGAATTCCACCCATTGGCAGTGGTATAAACCTCAGCACAAAGGCACAAAGAAACCTCAAAGCATGAGTGAGAAAATTTGCTAGGATAGAACAGAGGTTTTCCCTTACAGAACTTGTAAGAGATAAGATCAAAGATGTAGACTGGGATCCAGAATTTAGTCTTTGAAGGCCAGGAGTTTGGGTTTTTCCCAAGGAGAATGAAGAGGCATTGAGATGTTTTTGCTGTCTGTAGTGAAACTGATCAAGAAGATATGTTGAATTAATTTGAGTGGAACAATGGAGACAGGGAGACCATTTTAAACTATTACAAGTTAACAGTGTTATTTAGGGTGATAGCAGTGTATATGAGAAAAGAGAAATGCAAAAGTTGGAGGAAGAATTGGTAAGAGTTGGTAATTGAGTAGATATATGTGGCCATGATGAAGGAAAATGTAGCCGTTGGTGCTAATTGAGATTTGTTTAGTGCGTTAATGCTCATCAAGTAAAAAATATAAATTGAGAACTCTGTGGTCAATTTGAGGTTGATAGATTTGGATTTTCCAGGAATTTTATCTAATGAGTCATATATTTCCTTTTTTGAATATTTTATTTTTAAAATGTGTTTTGTAGAGGGAATTTCTTATTCTGAATTAATGATTACAATAATTTCTGTGATGATTCGTTTTCGAAGAATCATCTGTTTCTTCCTTTTCAAAAAAGTAGAATGAATAACAAACTGATATTCCTAATACAGAGAGTATAAAATAGTATGGGCTTCATTTATTTATTTATTTTTTACTTTTATTATTATGTTTTGCTGAGGAAGGTTAGCCCTGAGCTAACATCTGTGCCTGTCTTCCTCTATTTTATATGTGGGTCACTGCCACAGCATGGCTGACGAATGGTGTATGTCCGTGCCCAGGATCCAAACCTGTGAACTGAGGCCACTGAAGTGGAGCACGCCAAACTTAACCACTAGGCCATGGCACTGGTCCCTTGGCTTTATTTTTTAATTTTAATTTTTACAGTTTCTTTTATTTTCAAAATACCTATCAGAATGACTACCTTTCTACTACAATCTTTTTTTCTTAAAAGAATACTTAACCGTATATTTTAGACATTAAAAATCTTTAGAGGGGCCAGTCCAGTGTCGTAATGGTTAAGCTTGTATGCTCTGCTTTGGTGGCGTGGGGTTTGCAGGTTCAGATCCTGAGTGTGGACGTATACATGGCTCGTCAAGCTGTGCTGTGGTGGCATTCCAGGTACAAAGTAGAGGAAGATTGGCCTGGATGTTAGCTCAGGGACACTCTTCCTCAAGCAAAAAGAGGAAGATGGGCAACAGATGTTAGCTCAGGACCATTCTTGCTCACCAAAAAACTAACAAAAAAGAGAAAAATTAAATCTGTGGAGATTAAAAGAGTAACAAGACCTTCCTATTTATATGTAAAATAACAAGAAAAAAATCTTGTGATTTTTTAAAATAGAAAGCATGATTTTCTCATTGAAATTTTTTTGTTTTCTTTTTGTTTTTCTTATTTCTGGTCACTAGGAATGATATCGCAGCTTGCAGAAAAATATAGTCTTCCTTTAAGAACAAGTTTTAGCTCTGCTCGAGGATTTTTCATCCAGATGACTACAGATTGTACAGCCCTACCTGATGATCAGCTTCCTTCAGAGTTTATTAAGGTTCATTCTAGAGTTTTGGTTAGGAAATTATTGTTTCTGATTTTACAGAATTACATTTACATTCTTCAGGCACTCCTTGAGTTTTACATGCCAAATTTCTGAATGTTCTGTATATGTATTGCTTCTCCTATTCCTAACCACCCACCTAACAGCTATACTAATCTGGGTGATTTAGAAGCTTTTTTTTTTTTTTTGAAATATTAAGCACAGTGCTTCCCACAGTTCTGGAAGCTCGGTATGTGTAAAAAAGGAAAATAAAGTCTAAAAGATGAAAGAAATTTGGAAAATACTGCGCCATCTCCTGTGTTAGGTACTTCTCAATACACATTTGCCTATTAAAGGTTTAAAAGTCCTGAAGTAAAAAAATCCGCTTAACCATTGTAATCCAATATTGCCAAACAGTTGGACCAGGGAAATATTTTTTCCTATGTACATATTAACTCCTCCACAATATACCAGTTTGGGAAAGTCTAACCCATCCTAATCTTTGCTTTCTCTGCTCCAAGGTGGTACTTTTTGATAAAAACATGCCATTTAACTTTCAGAGTTTTAAAACCTATACTGTATACCAAGTAATGAAGGATGGATGAAGTAAAAAATGGGTGGAGACTTAGTAATGGGGTTAGATTGAGTGAGGTTCAGATATGGGGTAAGGGTTAAGACAAGGGTCAGAGGTGGAGTGAGGATTAGTGATATTTATCATGCATATTACTTGGTAATAAGATATTGTGTTTTAACATTTCTATATGGCCATTTTAAGACCTGTAAAAATAGTCATGTCAGATGAACCAGGGTAAAAAATTCTGCTTTAACCTTAGAAGTGATCTTCCTTTTCTCTTTCACTAACATTATTCAGGACTTTGTGATACTGTATTTCAGAAATTAAAGTGATTAACCTAAATACCTATATTTCTATTCTTTAAAATTTGTGTGTTTTACTTCATAGGAGGGTACACATATCTTGACATTTGTTTTGTAATTTCCCAGCAGATTTCTAAAGTGAAAAATTCTTATAGCTTTACATCAGCAGATTTAATTAAAATGAATGAAAGATGCCAAGAGTCTTTGAGAGAAATCTATCACATGACTTACATGTAAGAACATTTGAAATTTTTGAATATTGAATTAAATTGGTTTAATTTGAGGCACAATAATAAATTTCATTAATTGACTTTTTGTCTGATTGCAGAAAAATGTAAAATTATGAGTGTTAGTAATGAAAGAACATTTCCTGGAAGAACAGTTAAAACTTTTAGTCTGTCATTGTGATTGGGATCAGTGAACCTCACAGAAGATTCAGGGCAAATCTAATTGCAAAAAACCCCATTATAACTAATACTTCTATAGTATGCATTCCACCATGATGTAGAACTTGGTACATCATGGGCTTATCTTGGGCTTCATTCCGTTTATTCTTTTTCTATGGTATGTAACCTCAACTTCTCATGCCTTAATACTTACATAGCGACATCACAATAGTGCCCAGTCTTTTGCTGTTCATGAAACAGCAGCAGTTCAGCTAGAAATAAGAAATAGAACACTCAGAGTTGGTGAGCTGAGATGATAAAGAGAAATGTTGGGCTTTCAAAGCAATTTCAGGGTATGGACCACAAAGATTAGAAGATACCGTAAGTTTTGGGAACATATTTATCCTTGTAAAGGAAAAGCTTTTATATTATGTCACAATATGATAACTCTAGACATAAAAGCTTAGATAATTATGTTGTTAGGATATATGTGTGTTTGTGAGAGAGAGAGAATGAGTGAGGGAAAAATAATAATAGCTTTTGTGTTAAACTTAACATCTGCTAAAAGACAAAATTATTAGCAGCTGGGATCTGCTGAAGTGTAGTGAAGGCTTGATTTGACCCATATACAAATATTTTATAAAAAAATTTATTTTATTAATATTTAATCAAAGCAGTCATTTCATAAACATGGTGTTAACACACCAGAAGATAGATTATTTGCTAATAAGTAGCTGTGACCTTGAGTGTGAACTTCAATTTCATCTCTAAAATGAGACAATAGAACGATGGACTTTATCTGTAGTGTACAACTCAACTTTGAGTGTTATTTTAGCTCAGGCACTGAATTTAATATTGTTTTACAATTGCACTCTATGTTTCTCTTTAAAAATCATTACTTGTCATACTAAACATGTACTTTCAGGATAGTGTGCAAACTGCTCAGTGAGATTTATGAACATATTCATTGCTTATATAAACTATCTGACACTGTGTCGATGCTGGATATGCTACTGTCATTTGCTCATGCCTGCACTCTTTCTGACTATGGTAAGTTGCTTTCTTTGGAATAAATATGTTACATACTGAAATTTTTATTCCATTCAAGCAATTTTATATAACAATTATGAATATTTTACATTTTTTATGTGAAATATAGTTTCTTGCCTTTGGTCCTGGACTAAGACTCAAAATAGAGAAAGTAAAATTACCTTTAAAATTTTCTTTTAAAAGTAAAAAAATTATGTACTGAGAAATTGACAAATCAGAAGGAAAAACTGCAAGAAAGTTTAAAGGTTCCCCAAATAAGAAAGACTGCAGAGCTGTCTCCTTGGTGAAAATGACAATGATCCAAATTTATAAAGTTCAAATGTGAAAACTCATTAGAAGCAGTATGATACTAATACTAATAGATACAAGAGAAATGAGCCTCTAAAGTGAGCATTTTCTAAACTAGCTCCTTAGATGTGAGCATCCCAAGATCAGGAATTATATCATTTATTTTCATATCCCAAGTCTGTACACAGGCCTTGATTATAAATGTTAAGTAATTTTCTAATGTTAAATGAATACTTCAAGTTAGCCCCTTGAAATTTCTTATCCAACTTATCAGCAATAACCATACTCCAGTATGCAAATTTATAGAACTAGTATGTGAATAATTAAGGTTGAATAATTGTGGGATTAATAACATTAAAATTTCTAGTTAAAATCAGCTGTAATGTTTCCAAATATTATGTTCATTTATTTTTATAATGAGAAATAACTATCTTACAAAGATTTTTTTTCATATTTCCATATTTAGTATGGAAATTTTAACTTTTTCAATTGGTATTTTATAGACCAAAGCTTTTCAATCTTTTATATCTCCTTTGGGGTCAGAACCTTATTTTAGGGATCACTTATTTTCATAGTAGTTTGTTTTTTTATTAGTTTTTTTTTTGCGTGGGTGAAGAAGATTGTCCCTGAACTGACATCTATGCCAGTCTTCCTCTATTTTGTATGTGGGATGCTGCCACAGCATGGCTTGATGAGCAGTGTGTAGGTCCATGCCTGGGATCCGAACCTGCGAATGCCAACCCCTAAAGTGGAGCACATGAACTTAACCACTATGCCACCAGGCCAGCTCCAGCAGTAGTTACAACTATTAAAAGTTTGATGTTGCTCCAATTTAATTTGAGAGGGACCATCCTGAAACTCTAAACCTATAAATAATGAATTTTTGCTGTTAAAAATGATTTTAAAATAGTTTAAAATTTTTCTTCTAATCAACATTTTATAATGAATGCTTTCAAGTTACCCATGTGTTTCATCTAGAGGCATGTAGCATTTTAATTTTTGCTGGTCCTCCCACCTTTTTACTCCTCCCTTCACCTCAGGAAGTATCCATAGAGACCTGATCATTCTTTATTTCTATAAATTAACATTATCTTTTGTGTCTGGTTTTTCTATCCTCTAGTTTTTTTTTAGACAAAGTTTCTGTGAAATTTTGGACATAAAGTTATTTTTTTATTTGGTTTTACTGTATAGTCATACCTCATTTGAAAAGCTAAGTATGCCAAATTTGAAATAATCCTTAAGGTGGGGATTAAGTCAGCATGCAATTTTGGAGTACTGGTAATTAATTATTTTAAAAGTATTATTAATGGCTATTTGATTTTTTCTAATCTATACATATCTGAAAATGTTATGAACTGTTTTGGAGCCCAAGAGAATCACAGAGAACTAAACCCTAGATTTCTCTGCAAGTGAATAAAAGTTGTGATGGTGATTAGAGTGCGTCAATGATAATTTAGAGGATTTGGGATAAAATAATACCTTACTGTTATTGTTCCAAATTGACCCTCGTGAGATCATTAAGGTATACACAATATGTGCACACCCCAAGAATTTTAAATATAAATATATTAATTTTTCAAAACCATTCTATTTTTTTTAGTTCGGCCAGAATTTACTGATACTTTAGCAATCAAACAGGGATGGCATCCTATTCTTGAAAAAATATCTGTGGAAAAACCTGTTGCCAACAATACTTATATTACAGAAGGGAGTAATTTTTTGATCATAACTGGACCAAATATGAGTGGGAAATCCACATACTTAAAACAGATTGCTCTTTGTCAGATTATGGCCCAGATTGGTAAGTTATAGCTTTACTTTATAGTTACCAATTCTGCTCCCCATTTAAAATGTTTTGTGCCTGATATTTTAGATCTAGTTGCTTAATTAACCCAAGAAGCAGTTGGAGTAGATTTTCTTACCTAAAAAGTGTAGTAGTGTCTAGTATGTAGACCATAACTTGTACTATTTGGTATTTATTAAGTTCCATCCAATTTGCATTGCATTGTAGTAAAAAATTTGTGGGATATAACAGAAGTAGAAACATTCTTACTATAACTATTAATGTTGTATCAATTATTCCTAAACTGAATCGTATAATTCTCTCAGATTCGAAACCAAACTTCATTGTGAGAAAAAGTGAAATAAGTAGGATAAGCTGCTGCCTTTTATAACCTATGTAAGATTTTTCCAAAACTATGACATTGGGCAGAGAAACATTTCCCTTACTTAATTTAAGGGGTACCAATACCTTGGCAACAGCAATGGATATATTATACACACATGTTTGCAGACACACACATATAAATGCCTGTCACTGGCCCAACAGTGTCACATATTTCTTGGTGTAGAGACACAACTTGCCTCTTATCTCTGAAAACTGGGTTTCCCTGAGGACTATGTGAATCAGAGGTGAGATGGTTGATCCTAGTGCAGTAGTTCTTAACTGGGGAGATCGTTACAATAACTATTGTTATTATTATTAATTTTATTTTTATTAGTGTCATCCTGACTTTTGCTTTCTTTTCCTGCTAGTCCTTGTTCCTCAGAGGTGCATCCTCTTCTTCATCTTTACCTTTGTTTTAAATCCTGGAATAGTCTGAAATTGTTTCTTTGCTCCCATTATTTCACCATTTTGTCTATACAGAGTTCAGTATACTTGAAACTTTCCCTATTCAACTATTTGTAGATTTTTATTTTCTTTGATTTTAGAATGCCTTTTATGTCCTGTTCTGTATAGCAGTAGGTACATTAATCAGATTGATTTGTTTTCAAAAGATGAATATTTTAGATTAGTTAGCCTGATAACTTCTTGGGCAGAAATAATCTTGTGGATGAAAATTCACCTTTTTTTAATTAAATGTTTTGCTTTCATTCTGATTGTGGGTATTTTTGTACATTTCTATTAATAGATATTGCCTAATATATCTTCTATAATGATTTTATCAACTTGAGCTTCATAAGCTCAGATGTTATGTTCATAAGCATTTTTTTCAGATTTTCATATTTTGAATGTTCTTTGTCATCTAACTATATTATTTAAAGTTTTTATCAAGTTTATAACATATCTTTCTAATGTATTTGAATATATACTATCTGATTTGAATTCCCAAATAACTTTTTACAATAGGTAGAGCAAGTGTTTCCATTTTAGATATGAGAAAGATGAGACTGGGAGAGTTTAAGTGCTGTCCAAAGTTATACAGCAAGTGATAGAGCTGGGGCCATGTCTTCTAACTCCATATCCAGTGATCTTTCTAGCACATCATCCTTAGAGAGGCTAGTAAATAATCTGAGTTGACGGAAAGTACAAAAACGTTAGTACTTATATTTTATAAAAGCATTTCAGGTTACTTTGACTTTATATTTTATAGGATCGTATGTTCCAGCAGAATATTCTTCCTTTAGAATTGCTGAACAGATTTTTACAAGAATCAGCACTGATGATGATATAGAAACAAATTCATCAACATTTATGAAGGAAATGAAAGAGGTACCCAAACTAAACTTTCTTACGTTAAAAACATATTAAATTCTTCCACCAATAGTCAATTATCATGTAAAAAAGTATTCTTATTCTGAAACATGTAGATGTGCTTATATTCCTCTACAAGAGCCAGAGGGCAGTCAAAGACAGCTTCCTAATTTCTGTCATATGTGGAAATGGAGTGAATGTTTTATTGAAAATTGCAGTTTTAAAGAAAAAGCTGGTGTTATTGAATGATAAAAACATGCTTTCATGTTTTTATATGAAACATATAAAAGACTTTTCAGAAAACGATGACCTGTTCAGGACCATTTTGCATAGTATCTATTGTTCCTGTTAGGCTTGATTTTAAGATAAAAGATCACTGTGTTAGAAGACTTTTAAAAATCATCCTCTTCTGTGCTCTTATAGAATTTTCACTTCCTGTATCAAAGTATGTATCATCACCTGTTTCTGATCTGAGCAAACATCAAGTAGGCTCGAAGGGCTAAAGGAATTTAGTATAGCTCTTGGGCTATTTTTAGTAGGTAGGAATTATTGGATCACTATACAGTTGCTAATTTTCTGTAGATGGAGTGGGAATAAAATTATTTGCCCACAGCATATGACATTTATATAATTATTTAGTATGTATTGCATATCTATGGGAGAATGTAGCAATATACTACATGCTTGAGGTGTACTTTTAAATGGTACTGGCTCTCAAGAAGCTTAGTCCCATAGTAAGGTAAAATAGCCTTGAAGGTTACTATTGTGTCATGACATAATAAGGGCGGAACTCTATTTTCTTCTTCTTTTTTTTTGGTGAGGAAGATTGGCCCTGAGCTATTGTCTGTTGCCAATCCTCCTGTTTTTGCTGGGGAAGATTGGCCCTGAGCTAACATCTGTGCTAATCTTCCTCTATTTTGTATATGGGACACCACCACAGGGTGGCTTGATGAGCAGCGCATAGGTCTGTGCCTGGGATCTGGACCTGTGAACCCCAGGCCACCGAGGTGGAGTGCTCAAACTAAACCCCTATGTCACTGGGCCGGCCCCTGGAATTCTGTTAAGTTAATAATCTTCACTGGAGAAGGAGCATTTCTGTCAATTAAAGTCTTGTCTTTGTTGGGCATGGATTTAAATTTATATGTTTAACCAGGAATCAATGGATTTGGATGCTTTTTCCTAATTTTTCTTTCCATTTTTACTGGATGTGGAGATGTTAAAATAAATTTGAGAGATAGTCTTGAGTATTTTATGTCAACAATTGATTAGTCATTTATGGCAAAGAAAATGACTATCTTTGTGCTTTATTTAAACATTTAATTCATTGCTTTGTTTCATTTCACTGTATCTAAAACATTAATATTTTAGATAATGGTTGTTTACTCTATCTCATACACAAATGCATATGTCTATTTATATACATATCAGCTGTTCTATTGGAATCATTAGTCATGAGATTTTTAGAAAGAAAAGCAATGTGTTAGTTTCTGCTCAGCAGGATTTCTCTATAAAAATATATTTCAGATGAACTAATAAAGAGACTGGATTTCTCCTCATTTTTCTGTATGATAGTGACAGCTGTTTGGTTACAATGAATAATATTAAAATTATATTTTTCAGATAGCTTATATTCTACATAATGCTAATGACAAATCACTCATATTAATTGATGAACTTGGCAGAGGTACTAATACAGAAGAAGGTATTGGTATTTGTTATGCTGTTTGTGAACATCTGCTGAGCTTAAAGGTATTCTTCTCTATTTTAAGTATACTAATTTTGAGTCTTTTTTTGATGTATGCTTTATATATTTATCATGATTGGATTTTACAGGCACCTACAAATATCTCTTTAAACAATTTTAGGTAATAAAAACATACCATAGCATTTATATTTTTGTTACTTCATTTCTGATAGAAGCAGGAGCAGTTAGTATGATAGTCATGATGTAGACAAGGAAAGGAGGAAATCAAGAAATACTCGTAAAGTCAAAACTAGTCACTTGGCTTTGATTTGATCAAATTAAATAGCAAAACATGAAAGCATTTCAATAATTGTCTCCACATGTCATGACATTGACTGAGCTGTCACAACATGAAGTAGAACTGGGCATCTGAGATCACTTTATGGAATTATTTATTTTACTTGCCTAAGATTTCATTCTTTTAAAGAAAACGTTTTTTCACAATCAACTATGTAAAACAAACTATGATTTTTGCTCTATTATTAAGCTAATTTGTAAAATATCTTTTTAGATGATCACTGAAAGTATAGGAACAGATATGAAAAAACTTAAATAAAAATATTTTTCATATTTAAATTACCTTAAGACATCCCTAAAATGAGGTTCTTTACCTTAAATGAGAGTCCATAATGATTTACTATATAGAATGAGAAAAATCTTATTTTATACTTAAAGAAAAGTATGTGATAAATCAAAAGTAATGTTAATAGATAACATTAGTCTTTGTAATTCTGAATCTATGTCAGTTGAGCAGAGTTTCTCATATAAATAAGATGCATGTATTACTTGTTAGGCTTAAAAGCTAATTAGTGTCTATGATGATTAATTTTACATGTCAACTTGATTGTGCTATGGAGTACCCAGAGATCTAGTCAAACATTATTCTGGGTCTATCTGTGAGGGTGTTTCTGGATGAGATTGGTATTTGAATTGTTAGAATGAGTAAAGCAGACTGCTCTCCCTAATGTGGGTGGGCCCCATCCAGTCAGTTTTGAGTGGGGCCGAGTTGAAGTCCTGAGTAAAACTAAAAGGCTGACCCTGCTGGGAGTAAGAGGAGACTCCTCCTGCCTGATTGCCTTCAATCTGGGACATCAGTTCTTTCCTGCCTTTGAACTCAAACTGAAACATCAGCTCTTTCTGGGCCTTGAGGCTGCCAACATTTGGACTGGAACTACACCATCGGCTCTCCTGGTTCCCGGGCCTTTGGACTTGGACTGGAACTACACCATCAGCTGTCTTGGGTCTCCAGCTTGCTGATTGCAGATTTGGGGACTCGTCAGTCTCCATAACCACATGAGCCAATTCCTTATATTAAATCTCTACACACACACACACACACACACACCCCACACACCCATACACACATACACATATCCTATTAATTCTTTTTCTTTAGAGAACCCTAAATCAGACTTTTGTATCAAGAGTTGTTCTAGAGGAACAGAATTTTAAAGATAAATTGTCAAATTTGTTCTAGGGTTTCTGGAATTGACTCTCTAATCTAATTAGATTGAAAGATACTAATGATTCTATTTCCAGTAGTAAAGAAAGCACTGGTAGTCCATAGTGTGATCTGGCAATGGAAATACACAAATCACCATTCACCATTGGATACTCTTAATTATCCACTTATAAGCAGCACAGAGCTGGATGACTATGTGTATGATGTTTTCAAATATTTTTGGCAACCTAATGAATATAATGAGATGGGCTAGTTGCTCCTAATGTCACTGGACAAAAAGTGGGGAAAAAGGATGAGTTCTGGAATTCAAATCGCTGCATAAATTACCTGAAAGCTTTGATGTGTGCCCTGAAGGAGACTCTTATCTTTTGTAGCCATAGACCTGAGATTACTGAAAATTAAACCCAGAATCTCATCCTGTGACTGGCTGAATTACAATGCAAGTTGAACTCCCAGCCATATAGTAGCAACTCTATTATTAAAGTGAAAGCACGATTTGAGAAGGAATGGAGTTCTGAAAATTGGAATGGGGATATGTGAGAAGACTCTGATGAAGTTGGGGACATTGAGCCTCTAGATTCTGGTGAGCCTTCTTTGCCAGCGGAAGAGGCCTCTCTGCTCTCAGTGGGAGTGACTTCCCCATCCCATCTGAAGGAATTAACTCTGTATTGCCTGAAGAAACTGTAATAGCCTGCCCTGAGACAGTTGCCATGTAATACAATGCTGATTCTCCTCAGGATCCATCTCTACCACTCTTTTTTGCTTCTAGACCTATATCTAGACTCAGGTCCCAGGAAGCCTTTAAAGGTGAAGTACAAAGTGTGGCCCATGAGGAGGTACAGTATACTTCAAAAGAACTACGTGAGTTTTCTAATTTATACAGCTGGAAATCTGGGGAACATGTGGAACTGGATATTAAGGATATAGGATAATGATGGAAGGAACATGAAGTTGGATCAGGCCAAATTTATTGATGTGGACTCACTAAGCAGAGATTTTGCATTTAATGTTGCAGGTCAGATGTTTGGTTGAACCAAAAAGTAGCCCACAGGGGCTGGCCCCGTGGCCGAGTGGTTAAGTTCGCGCGCTCCGCTGCAGGCGGCCCAGTGTTTCGTTGGTTCGAATCCTGGGCGCGGACATGGCATTGCTCGTCAGACCACGCTGAGGCAGCGTCCCACATGCCACAACTAGAAGAACCCACAACGAAGAATACACAACTATGTACCGGGGGGCTTTGGGGAGAAAAAGGAAAAAAAAAAAAAAAAAAAAGTAGCCCACAGTGAGTAAGTTGGAAATGCTGAACTTGCCTTGGTTTAATGTAGAAGAAAGGATTCAAAGAATTAAAGAGATTGGAATGTTATTATGGATTTGTCATTTAAGAACTACTCTCCCACCCTGATGGGGTCCAGAAGACATACCTTTCACCATGACTTGGAGAAATAAATTTGTGAAGAAAGCCCCAACATCCTAGAAGAGCTCTGTGATCACTCTTCTCTGTAGGCCAGAACTTACAGAGAAAACTGCAGTCACTCAATTGGGAAACCTAAATACAATAGGAGTAACTGGATCTTGTGGTGGCACGAGTCAGCTAGTGGCACTCAACCGACAAAGGCAAGGTGGACATGGTTACCAAAATGGACAGCAGAGTCAAAGCATCAATCAGAATAGTCTTCACTTGGGCAGAACTTTGGGGTTGGCTAATTGATCATGGTGTTTCTAGAAGTGAAATAGATGGGAAACTTATTAAATTCTTACTTGATCTGCGTAAGCAGAAAAGTTCTAGGTCAAGTGAACACAAATCTAGCCTAGATCATAAAAACAGAGAATGACATGGGCTGGCCCAGTGGCGCAGCAGTTAAGTTCGCACGTTCTGCTTCTTGGCAGTCCGGGGTTTGGGGTTCACTGGCTCGGATCCCGGATGCGGATATGGCACCGCTTGGCAAAAGCCATGCTGTGGTAGGCATCCCACGTATAAAGTAGAGGAAGATGGGCACGGATGTTAGCTCAGGGCCAGTATTCCTCAGCAAAAAGAGGAGAATTGGCAGTAGTTAGCTCAGGGTTACTCTTCCTCAAAAAAAAAAAAAACCACAAAAACAAAAACAGAGAGTCACTGTCCCTCAGTGAATTTCTAGACTTGAGCCAGTTTACAGACCTAGAACCTCTTGAATGAAAGGGAGGGTAGGTCCCCTTGAGGAAGGGCTCTGGCACACTGCCAAAAGTTTATGTGTTAATCTTTCTCCCACCCTTCTCCAAAGGGACTTACAGCCTTTTACCAGAGTAAGTGTGCATTTGGAAAAAGGAAATAACCAGAACTTTTGAGGACTACTGGACGCTGGCTCTGAACTGATTCTAACTCCAGGAGACCCAAAACATCATTCTGGTCCACCAGTCTGAGGGGCTTATGGAGGTTAGGTGATTAATGGAGTTTTAGCTCAGGTCCATCTCACAGTGGGCCCAGTGGATCCCCAACCATCCTGTGATTGTTTCTCCAGTTCTAGCATGCATAATTGGGATAGATGTACTCAAAAGCTGGCAGAATCCTCACGTTGATTCCCTGACCTTTGGGGAGTGAGGACTATTACAGTAGGAAAGACCAAATCAAAGCCACTAGAACTACTTCTACCTAGGAAAATAGCAAACCAGAAGCAATACTGCCTTCCTGGAGGGTTGTAGAGATTAGTGCCACCATCAAGGCCTTGAAAAATCATCAAGGCTGATTCCCACCACATTCCCATTCAACTCACCTATTTGGCTGGTATAGGAGACAGGTAAATCTTTGAGAATGACAGTGGATTTTTGTAACCTTAACTGAGTGGTGACTGCAATTGCACCTGCTGTACCAGATGAGATTTCATTGCTTGAGCAAATTAACACATCCCTGGTACCTGGTATGCAGCTAATTGATCTAGCCAATGCTTTTTTCTCCCTGCCTGTCAATAAAGACAACCAGAAGCAGTTTGCTTTGAGCTGGCAAGGACAGCAGTACATCTTCACTGTCCAACTTCAAGGATATATCAACTCTGTAGTTCTATGTCTTAAATTAGTTTGCAAGGATCTTGAGCACTTTCCTTCACACTGGTCCGTTACATTGATAACATTATGCTGATTCACCTAGTGAGCAAGAAGTAGCAACTGCTCTAGACTTGTTGGTAAGACATCTGTGTGTCAGAGGGAGAAATAAATCTGACACAAGTACAGGGGCCTTCTACCACAGTGAAATTTCTCAGGGTCCAGTGGTGTGGGGCGTATTGAGATACTCTCTAAGGTGAAGGATAAGTTGTTACATCTGGCTCCTCCTACAACCAAAAAGAGACAAAATGCATAGTGGGTCTTTTTGGATTTTAGAGGCAACATATTACTCATTTAGATGGGTTACTCCAGCCCATTTACCAAGTGACCTGAAAACTGCTAGGCTGAGTGGGGCCCAGAAAAAGAGAAGGCTCTGCAACAGGTTCAGCCATGCAACCTGCTCTGCTGGCTAGGCCATATGATCAAGCAGATCCGATAGTGCTCGAAGTGGCAGTGGCAGATAGAGATGCTGCT